ATCGAAGTGATACTCATTTAGAACGTAACATGTTGTAAAACACATAAAGCCCCAAATATGAAACCTTAAGGAAATAACAGATAGATGAAGAACTAACTTTATTAGAAGTTTTGGACGAATAATCATGTCTTTGCTTGTTTAAGTAATAAACTGGCAATAACCACAGAAAAGGCAGCATATTCCACTCCATTGTTTCCCTCAATTTTTTTTTAAATCGAATTAATGTATTTCTATTAAATGCATCTGACTTACGATATAGAGCTTGAACACACATAAAAATCTCCCCAAAGTCTACAAAATCAATTCAGTTGCACTACTTACTGTTTGCATTAGATTTGAACTAGTCAGTTTTCTATTGGCACATCAATTTAAAAAGTTTTCTATCAGCTCAGGGCATTAAATTTTCGGCACCATGTTATGAATCTATATCTTATTATCGCAAGCGATTCACATTGCAGATCCGGAACCTCCATTATTTCCTTCGTTGTGTCGAGCATTTTCCGCTTGGAGAGCTTGTTGTTGTTGTAGGAACTTGGCTGCTGCTGGAAACCCTTGGAGATCGAATCCTGGAGGTGCGACTATTGTAGCTCCAGCTCCAGCCCCGGCAGTGCCTTGAAAAAAATATTATTTTGCAAATACTGCGAAGAAAGATTAAAATTGAATATAGGAACCGGACGTTCATGTATTCTATAGGAAAATGTTGAAGTTTTTTTGGAAATTGTTCCAATTTTAAATTTGCTAAATTCAAAGAGAATAGCAAGTTATTGAGTCAACTCGGATTTTGTTTAACCTCCACTGGTTGATACAAATACTAATATATTCTTATTTTTCCTGGGTCTCAGTCAAAGTGTGAAGTAAAAATTTTGAATATTGTTTATTTTATTGCGTTTCGGCGAGACAACAGCGCCATCGTCAGATTTTAAATTTACACAAACTACAAACACCAATTCACAATTAAAACATGTTGTATACAAACTATAATTTATAAAGCGTTAAAACACTCATCAGTTCTTGAAGGAAAAAATCCTTCCTTTTGGGAGAGCAAAACATTTGAAAAACTTACCTCATAATTGTTAAACATTACGTTCTTTTGGGTCTTTGCCTTCTTGAAACCTTAAATTTGTCTGAATTATTTTCTACGTTTATTTTTTTACGTAAACGAACGTAATGTTTACCAATTATGAGGTAAGTTTTTTATGTAAGATTGTATCAGGCCACGACACGGTAAAAGGAATAAAGGCAGACCGAGAGCCAGATGGAAAGACGCCATAGAAAAAACCAGAGGAAAACTATGGTCACAGCAAGCTGAGGACCGCAGAATGTGCAAGCAACTTGGCAACTTGAGGAAGCTTATATCCAACAATATATCGAATAGCTGTTGCATGATGATGATTATGATGGACTACTAACACAGAATAAGAGCAAATGCTTCCAATAAAACTGAACATCACATACAAACAGCACCACAAGTTGCATGGAGATCAATAAGACAAGAGAAGACGAACCAGACAATTTAAGTTCATTTCTCCAACAAACAACTACGCGACTCAAAAGCAATCAAACTAACCAACGAAAACAACAATAGTAATATCATAAAGGCACAGTAAATATTGCAAATAGAAAACTTGGGTGGATACAATTTTCGAAAATGTTCCATATGTAATAATAATTTGCAAAAATATCTAGTGAATAAAGAAAACTGTTAACATCTTAATCATTCATTATCATAATTAATTAAAATTAATTACTTATCATAACATCATAATCAGTAAACTAAATGCTGCTTTCGGTGCTCTTAAATAATAAAATTTAAAGAATCTTTTAAATGACTTAATATGTATCTTCAAAAAACGAACTGTTCAATATACTACAATCTATGGTAACTAACCTTGTAAATAGGCAATAAGTCTCTTCATCTCCTCCAAAGCATTAGCTTGCATAAGAATATAATTTTTAGCCAATAATAGAGTAGCTATTTTCGACAGCTTCCGCACAGATGGTGAGTGGGCATAAGGAATGACTGCTCTGAGTTCATCCAGAGCGTCATTCAGATCGTGCATTCTTCGACGCTCGCGGGCATTTATGTTTAGTCGAACGGTTTTGCCTTGACGATTCTTTCCTTTGACATTCGGATTCGTGCTTCCGGATCTGGATTCTAAAGATCTGGAAATAGACCACCTTATATGAGGCTTTTTGTTGATAGCAAAGTGCAATTACAACGTAATAAATATAATTTGAGGACGATCTTTGAGGGCGGAAAACATAGTAAATAAGAGAAATCGCATGCTTATCATATGGAAGACCAACCATTTATTCCTTAAGTTTTTCTAGACGTTTGTTTACTGTGTTGAATGCTTTTCTTGAAAATAATAATAACAATGATTGATAATATTGAAAAAAATTTATCAATTTAATGAAAATTATGACCTGTACTTTCAATGAGGTCAATAGCACGTCACCAATGATTGTACAGAGAAAAGAAAAGATACATTAGTTTTCCTTGTACATTGTTTTGAAAATAGCTTTTTAAGTACCGTGGAATTAATATATTCTGCTTCAGTTGATTATTTAGTACTGTTTATGGCTCGAGGAGCGAAAATTACAATTGAAATTACCCGGATTGAAAAAAAATATCCATTTATGGACTTTCTCTCATCAATATCATCTGCATAAACTACAACAGCATATTCCATTAATATACTGTTACCATCCTCATTTCTTTAACACTTTTTTGCGTTTCCTCGCATGTGAAAACTTACTGTATTTCAACCAATTTAGGCTTAAATTTGCAAGTCAGGCACAGTAGGAT